GGGAGGGGGAGACACACACTGATGTGAGAGAGACACAGCAATTGGTTGCCTCCTGAACGTGCCCCAACTTGGGGGCCTGGGGAGTGAACCTGCAACCCAGGTACATGCGCTTGACTAGGAATTGAACTCGAGAGAGGCCCTTCGGTGGGCAGGCCGACACTCTACCCACTGAGCCACACCGGCCAGGGCAGCTGTTGTCATTTTTTATTTGACAATCTAAGGGAAAAGAGGTCAGTGCCCAGACTAAATAGTCAGGTATTGCAGGTTTTAAAAATTCTTGCGGCACATCAGTTGAAAATCGCTGACCTAGTATATCATATTTTTGACGAACAGAATTTCCTGTTTTAATTAATATTTTTTGCACAGTGAACAAGATTTGCTAAAACTCAATATCTTCCTGCGTTTATTTTCCATCTTGTCTTAAATATGATCAGGCCCTTCTGGGAGTCCAATGGGAGAGCATCTAATAAAAAGTTATCTAATTCATAGACAGATGATGTCACCACAGTGTGCAGGTAGAAAAGCAAATCTTGAGAACACAGAGCATTGCTCTAGAAAGTGGTCCCCTTCCCCACATCTGGGCAGCAATGCCTGCTCAGGCGAAGGACCCATGAGGCCCTCAGGATGGACTATTTGCCCTTGGGGACAGTGGTAGTACTCACCCGGTTTGATGGGCTGCCTGCTGGAGAAGGTCAGAGGTGCAACGAGGAATTTGGTCTCTGCAACTGGCACCCAGTGGTGGAGAATTTTCACTGTCCAGACCCCAGGCCTCAGGGGCAAGTTCAAAGGGGGCTTGTAGTGGGTAAATTCGGCAGTGGATTCAATCAGGATGTCGTAAGTGGCTGCAATGACGTTGACGGGATCCACCCAGATGACAGTCACCGTCACGTTGGGGCCCTTCCCCCATTTCTGCATGCCTACTGGCTCGTCCATGGGCCCCAGGAGACCCCCAAAGTTGCGGAAGAGCCTCTCCTTGGCATCCCAGTCAGTGCCGACCTGAAACAAGAGTGAGTCCTGAGATCACTGAGCCTGAGCTAAGGTGCTGGGTCCAGGAAAGGGCTAGGATCTTGCTTACTAGGCTTCACCTACTCATTTTACAGATGAGGAAATGGGAAAACTGAGGCTCTAATTAAGTTACTTGCTCAAGGTCAGACAGGCAGTAAGCAGAAGATCTGGGATTTGGACCCAGGTTGGGGAGTTACAAGGTCTGTGGTCTATTCACTAAACCTTTGGGCCTCCTGTGCCTGGCACCCGGTGTGTGCTTTAGAAAAAAATGTGCACTGAATGAATGAATGAATGAATCCCTGCTTTCAGTCCATTTTAAGGAAACATACACCCCGCCATTCAACAGGTACAGCTGGTTTCCACTTTGCTCCTTGGTTTTCCAGATCACGTGCCTCCATTTAGTGTGATTGTTCTGAGCAAGACAGGGGCTCTGGTTTTGGAGCCGCCCTGTCATAAGCTAGAAAAAAAGAGGGCCCCTCAGCATCGCCTGTCATCTGCAGGAGTTCACAAGGCTTTCCCAGGAAGAGACAGCTCTGGCCTCCCTAAAGCATCCTGAGCTGGACCCTAGGGATGGGAGACGGTTGTACAATCCACCCTTCCTGCCAGCCAGCGGATTCGCGGCTTTGACCCTCTGTGAATCCACACGTGCCTTCCCGCCTTCCACTTCTGTCGCCTGCAATCTACTCTCCACCCAGTAGCCAGAAAGACATTGTGAACTGTCCTCCGACCGCTCAAATCCCTGCGCCTGGGCCCGCTGCTCTCTCGTGGTGCCCAGCACTGTGCTTGGCACACAGTAGGTGCTCAATCATCCGTCGAGTGAATGACCTGACAAAAAATGAATGAGCTGCAGAGATCCCTGATACTGAGCTCTGCTGCTGTTTCAAATCAAATTAAATTGGGGTCTTCTGCTCGCAGGAGGTTTAGTGCAGTGCTTCTGAGGACAGCATGGGGCATGCTGGAGGCAGATGCAGAGCCACCATCAGGCTCGCACTGCTCCTCTGGCCTCTGCACGGCCAGCATCTGCAGTGCGTGTGCCTGCGGGTGAGGGTGCAGGGGGCGACAGGCACACCTGCACCCTGAGAACGTTCCGCACGCGGGGCGCAGGCAGGAGCTGCTGTGCTTTCTCCCAGCTCCCACCACGAGTCACTGTGTCCGTTCCGGCCACAGAACACAGAGCTGCACGGCCAACAGGGCCGAGAGCGTCGGCCACGCGTCACGCCGAATGCCTGGCCGCACCGACTCGTTTAACCGCACTCCCAGCTCCACGAAGGGGAGGCTCTTGTCGTTACCCCCATTTTAAAGATGAGCAAACAGGCTCAGAGCAGTTCGATAACTTGCTATGGTCGGTGAGGAGTGGAGTCAGCGGGGGGCCCCGGGAAGTCTGACCCCAAAGGCGATGTTATCTACTCTTCGATGTATTGTCACTGAGTCACTCAGTCACTCACTCACCAACACGCGTGCCGAATGCCACCACCTACCAGGGGGCCTATGATCCACGCACATTCATAGGCTCACAGCTTGCTTCAGGTTTCTGTCTTTAGACCGCGGCCTAAAGAGTGGCCCTAAGGGTAGGAGAGGTAGGGGTTGCTGTGACATTTCTGTCCCTCTCAGACTTGTGAAATCTCGGCATTTTTCTGCCACCCTGTGGGTCAGCAGGGGCTGGGTGCTCCTGAGGACCCCTGGGGTCTCTCGCACAGGCTGGGACACAGTAGGAATTAAAATGATACTATTGATTGAAGTAAGAGCAGGATTCAAGCTCCGCCTCAAAGTCTTAAAGATTTTTCTAAAGAAACCCGATCCTAAGTGCAATCCCCTTCAGTATCTTGTTGTTTTTAAGTCTGGTCTCTCACTGAGAGGTCTGGTCTTTTTGGGTCTGCTCCTTTCTGACCCTCTCTCCCCGCTCCACTCACCCCCTGCTCCAGGCCCCCCTGGGACACTCTCTCTTGCCTCTGATCCTGTGTCCACCCCCAGCTCTCTCTGCCAGTCTGCCTTCTTTCCCTACCCTCTTCCTGACCAGCTCTTATTTATCATCTAGATCTCAGCCAGGGTGTCACCTCTACCTGGAAGCCTTCCCTGCTTAGAGGCACCATGGAGGTGCTTCTCTAAGCATGTGCCCATTGTAGCTTTTTTTGGGGGGGAGGGGGGGACAGCATTGCAACTTTTAATTTAGTCTTTCTCCCTAGCCCAAGACTGTCAACTCCATGAAGGTAGAGACGACATCCAGCTTGTTCATCAATGTATCTCTAGTGCCCAAAACAGTGCTGAGCACATAGTAGGTGCTCAGTATATCTCTATACCTCTCCATCCATCACCTATCCATGTCATGAATGATCAGGAGCTGAGCACACGGACATGTAAAGAGGCCGACAGTGGAAAACCTAGATCTTGTTTCTAAACTCTGAGAGGAGAAAGTCAGCTGCTGTCCCCAAGCACGAGGGAGGAGGGGCTTCCCGAGACGGAGCCCTGCTGCTGTCACAGCCTCTGTGGCCTTCACGATCATCTCACCAATGCTCTGGAAGTCCACACCATTCACTACAAAATGATCAACTGCTCATACTTAAGGGCATGTTCAAGTTCAAGCGTAACATACTGCTCCCCCAGGGTCAAACCCACCAAAGGCTTCCCACGGCACTTAAAATACAATCCAAGGTTCTTTCCAGGGCCTGCAAGATCCCTCCTGATCTGTCCCGTCCCTCAGAGAGCTCCGTCCCATCACTCTCCCTCTCGATCACTGTGCTCTGGTGGCACTGGCTTTGCTGCTCCTTGAGTATGCCAAGCTCCTGCCGGGAGCCTCGGGGCCGTTGCACATGCTCTTCTCTTAGAAGATCTAAAAATGTTCCAGTTCTTTTACAGTTTTCACCCCTAAAATTATTCTCAGAAAAGCCTTCCTGAATGAATCATCCCATTGAAAGTAGTTCTCATTAGCCTCTCGAGGCCCCAACAATCACATGAATGGAATTTTATTTTCTTTGTATAATACTTGCCATTAGTTGAAATGTTTTTTGTTCATTTATTTGCTCACTCATTGGCTGCCCCACTAGAGAGCAGTTCTATGACACCAAGGGTCTGGTCTGTCTGGTTCACCACTGTTCCTTCTGGCCTCACATATCACAGGCACTAGGTGACTCTCCAAGATGCCAGCATGGGACTCCCACGGGATGGAGAAATCTATCTGAGCTGCCCATCTGCCATGAGCCAGGCCCTACGCACAATCCTGGGACTGTGCCAACACGAGGGAACTTCTCAACAGCCCATGAAGTGTCCGTGCAGGTCTCTCCCTCCTTCTTGTCCAACTTTACATTTGCCTTAAAATAAAGGCTTTAGAAAAAATTCAAAATACAAGATTCAGGGCTCACATGTTGGTTCTCTGCCAGAGATCTTGGTGGCTCTCACACCAAGGGACCCGAGCTAGAGCAGGAACCTTCACAAATCACCAGCCACGAGTGGCTAGCGTCATTTGTCACTGCCAGAAGTGCCCGGTTTCCCAACGGCAGGCTGATAAACAGGGAGAGCCTGGCCACTAGGCATCCATCTCGTTAATGGGACATTAATGTCTTCAATTGGCCGCCTGGGCCCCCAGCACAGACTCCAACTGGGGCAGTGTCTAATTGCCCCCTGGTGCCAATAATTTATGGAGAGGGCTCCCATGGCAGCTCAAATCCAGCCAATCCATTTGGAGTCTTAATTGAAAACGATGGCTTCACAAGAAACTCCTACTCATGCTTGTTCAGTGCCCACTCAGCAGGGCACAGGCCCGCCAGGTGGGGTTATAGGTGGCTAGAAAAAGACCGGCAAGGAAAATATAAGTGGGTAAGAATACTTACCCCCAGCCCACTCCCATCCCTCAAGATTCTCCACATTCTGAAATAGGCCCCCAAGCCAGCAGCCAAACTCACTGCTGGTGCTTAACACCAGGGATAAATCACTGCTTTAGCCACTGGGTGACAGGAAAGGCAGAAAGCCCCTGAGTAGTTTTGTTTGGGCAACCCTCACCAAGCCTGATCCTGCTTTCCCTTCCTCCCATGGTCTCCAGCCAACCGCAGGCACTCATTCATTCAGAAACCTTTGCTCTTTTTGACACTATTACAGATGTCCCTCACTTCCCCCTTTGCCCACCTCCACCCATGCCCCACTCCCTCCCTTGGCCTTCACCACACCGTTGTCTGCGTCCATGGACTATGCATATATGTTCTCTGGCTAATCCCTTCACCTTAGTTAGCATCTACAAATGCTACATGCCCTTCTATGTGCTGGGGATACAACAGTGAGTGAGAGGGATATCGTCTCAGCTCTCTTGTGTACAGTCACCAAGTGATCGGAGAAACCAAAAAGGTCACGTTAGATGGTAAATGTTAAGAAAAAAATAAAATAAGGATGTGAAGAATGTAGCTACTGTGGCATAAGTGGGTGGGCAGAGAAAGCTTCTTGAAAAATGTAACATTTGGATTTAGATCAGAATGACCAAAAAAAGGCGAAAACCTGCAGGAAAGCATTCTAGGCAGGAGGATCAGCACATGCCAAGCCCGAGGCAGGAACAAACTTGGCATGTTTGACAAATATGCAAGTGTGAGTGGGGAGGAGAGTGGTACTGGATGAAGCTGGAGATGCAGACAGAGGGCAGATCAGGTCTGGAGGTAGGGCTGGTGTTACAAGGGTGGTGCTGGATAGATTCATCTTCCCAGGCAGAAAAATAACTAAAAGTTGATGCTGTACTGGAGAGGTAGAAACTACATTCCATAGTTCCATACATCCATGCATCAGTCCATCTGTCCAATCACTGACATACCTGTCCATCCATCCATGCATCCATGCATCCATCCACTCATCCATGCATCCATCCATCCACCCATCCACTTATTCATCCATCCACTCACCCATGCATCTATTATCCATCCATCCATTCACCCACCCACCCATTTATCCATCCATCCATCCATCCATCCATCCATCCATCCATCCATCCATCCATCCACTCATCCATTCGATGATTGATCTGATACTTATTTTAAGCTAAACCCTGTGCTAAAAACTAGGGAGACAAAAGCACAACTAAGCACAGGATTTGCAGCCTAAGGGACCTGGGTTTAATTTTGAGCTCTCCCACTTCCTAGCTATGATCTAGAAAATCACTGAATCTCTATACGCTTCAGTTTTCTAATATGTAAAACAGAACTAATGCCACTACTTCATTAGGAAACTGGTTTGTTATTGTTCTATTATGAACACAAGTTTAGGAGGTGTCACTAGCTAGAATAAAAAATTAAAAAAAAAAATAGTTCTACTATAAAAAATAGACCAAGGCTCCAGGTTGGTTTGGTCTACTGTCCCTCTCCTCCTGCCCTGTTAAGATGCCAGTTCCAGTGTTTGGGACTGGAGAACCTTCTTCAGGCACAGGGTGAGCTCATCTTTGGGGTTTTCCAAGTCCCCTTCTCCTCCATCTCCAGCTACAGGTGTCAAATCATGAAACAAGACCCAGCAAGAAGGGGGATGTAAAAGACAGTGAATTATAACAATGTCTGGCCTCTTACCTCAGAAAACTGAAGCCTCCCAAAGTCGCTGGGTGGACTTGCAATCTTGAAGACTTTCTTTGGCATCACCCATGTCTCCAGCGTCTCGAGTTTGCTCACGGCCAGATTGGTAGCATGATGCTTGATCAGAAAGCCCTGGAAGCGGTCAGCAAGGAAGTAGAGGTGGACAGATGCTGGGTGGCCCATTGGATAGTACCTGGAAAACATGCACAGTCTCATACGAGCTGCTCATGGGTCAGGGTTGGAGATGTGGAGGCTCACAATGGGGTGCCCGCCCAGCATGCCGGTGTTGTTCCTAAAATAACCCCCATTTTATACAATGCTTAACATATTCCTGAAAGCTGACTCTGTGTATCTATGATCTCAATAACTACTAACAATAGCTTTTTGGTTGATTATAAATGTAAAGTACGTTGACTCTACGAAAGCACAATAAAGAATATACAAACTGCTACTTTTGATGCTTCTTTACATAGACGATGTCAATTTACAGATATTTATTGACCCTCTGGTGCTAGGTCCTGGGAAGCAATGATGGTGTGCAAACAATGTCATATTGACCTACTTCCCTTCAGCCTTATTTTCTATGCATATATTTGCATAAATCTCATGTAGCTGAGGTCATAATATACATACTGGTTATATCCTGCTTTTGCTTCATAGTATTTCCCAAGCATTATCACACGTTTTTGAAGTCTCTGAAAACGTGATACACACATACATTACTCCACTACATGCAATGCTGTAGATTACAGAGCAAGTTCCCATCACTGGCTATGTAACTGGTTTCTACTTTTTTGGCCGTTCTGAACAATACTGCATTAAATATCCTTGAGCAAACATAGTTTTTGGAACCTCTTTCTTTCCCCCTCTCTCTAATCTCCAAGGGGCTCTCTATGTCTGTTGTCCAACTTTATCAAAAAGGTTGTGCTGATTGGCGCTCTCACTGTCCTTCTCAGCCACGACATTGGATGTTTATCCCTTAAAATTAATCCAAGGTCCATATATTCATGCATGAAGAGGTAGCTGTTGTTTTAAGATGCATGTTTTTGATCCACAAAGGCTCCCTGGGAGAAAGGGGCAGGGAAATTAAGCAGAGATGCCCCAGGAGGGAGCAAGGGAGGGAGGAACTTTGGAGAGCCCAGCTCTGTCTTTTCTCCTGGTGGAATAAAAGGCTGCTGGCTTCTGCAATGTGTAAATTGCACAGCACTTAGAGGTGCTTGTGGCTCCTTAATAACAGCGTTCCACAAATCACTGTTTCTGCTCAGCCTCTTTCCCTCTGGTCTTGATCTGGCGCTTAAGTCTTTATGTCCAATTACAATGGTTAGGGAAGCCGCCTTCCTGTGTTTCCGCATCTCCAGAAATCACTGCCTAGTTACTGGGATGCCTCCAGGGCTCTGAGAAAAAAGCCTGCACCCTCTTCAGACTGTTCGGTGGGTGTCATGGCTCACACAAGTCTGCTTTGGGTCGGACTTCGGGAGCCAAAATCCCTCGCCCTGGACTGTGCTGCAGACCTCTGTGCTGAGATGGAGACGTTTTACAGCTGTGCTCTCCAACACAGCAGCCCCTAGCCACTTGTGACTAGTGGGCACTTGAAATGTGGCTGCTGTGAGTGAGGGACTGAATTTTTTATTTCACTTCATTTTAAATAATTTTAACTTAAATACTGACTGGTGGCTAGTGGCGACTGTACTGGACGGCACAGATAGCCCTGATAGGATCTTGTGGTCGCTTGCATCAATGCCTCCAATTCTTCCCCTCTTCTGTCTCCATGCTCTTTTCCACATGGCTTTGCAGGCTTCCTTGCCCTGGTGAGGCAGAGCCTATTTCCTCACTCCTGAATCTGCTTTGGCCAGCAGAATGTGGCAGAAGGTAAGGCATGCCAGTTCCCATGCAGGGCCCCAGGAAGCCTTGCACATTTCCTCTCCTGTATTTTGTGATGAGAGCATGCCTTTGCTGACCAGGTAAGGATTCCATCGTAAGCATTAATCAGAGCCACTTATGGCACTCAAGCAGGGGATGGTGTATATGGCTATCATGAGGTGTGGACACAAGCAGGAGGGAAACAAATAAGGAAACTCCTGCAAAGCTCCAGGGAAGGCATGGTGGTGGCCTGGAGCAGGAGGCTGGCAGTGCAGAGAGGGGGAGAGGCTGGATTCAGGAGGAGACAGCAGGACTTCTTGATAGAAGAGGAAGGAAAGCTGGTGATCAAAGATTAACTCCTTGGTTAACTGGGAGCCTGCTGGGCTAGCCTGCTGGAGGGTGAGACATTTGGGACACAGCAGAGCCACCCCAGTTGTCCCAGCCAACAACTCCCAGCCAAGAACAACAGAGCCCTGCTCCCCACCTGCAGCAGCTGCAGATTTGGGAGAGACGACAGCTGAGACCAGGAACACTCCCCAACTGACCCGCAAACTTGAGCTCTACGTCAATGTCAATGATTATTATTTCTTTTTTTCCTTTTAAAAAAATATATCTTTATTGATTTCAGAGAGAGGAAAGGAGAAGGAGAGAGAGAGACAGAAACATCAATGATGAGAGAGTCATTGATCGAGCCCACAACCCGGGCATGTGCCCCGACCGGGAATCGAACCCCGATCGCCTGGATCCTAGGTCGACACTCAACCGCTGAGCAACACCCGGCTGGGCAATGATTATCATTTCAAAACACTGATTTGGGGCTTGTTAGGCGGTATTATTGCACTAGCTAAATAATACACTGTCAATGTCTGTTCTGTAAGGTGGGTGGGGTCAGTGACGGTGGAAGAACAGGAGAGCTTGTTGGCATGGGAGTCAAAAGAAAGAGTTTCCAGAAGGGAGCAGTCCACAAGAGGTCCTGCTAAGGAGTCAAGTAAATGAGCAATGGTCAAGCACTCTGGTCACCGAGGAGTTAGTCTTTGATCGCCTGCTTTCTCTTCCCTTCTATCAAGAAATTCTGCTGCCTCCACCTGAATCCACTCTCCTCCCCTATGCACTGCCAGCCTCCTGCTCCAGGCCACCACCATGCCTTCCCTGGACCTTTGCAGGAGTTTCCTTACTTGTCTCCTGCCTGCTTTCCATCCACTACAACCTCATAATAGCCATATCCACCGTCCCCCGCTTAAATGCCGCATGTGGCTCCGCTTAATGCTTATGATGAAATCCAAACTCCTCGCCCAATCTACAAAGCCCTGCCTCCTTCTTAGCCTCATTTAGTTTCTCTCTGCCCCAAACCACTACCTTCTAGTCACACAGACCTTATTTTGGATTCTACATAGACATTATTTTGGATTCCTGAACACACTAAGCTCATTTCCACCTCAGGGCCTTTGCACAGGATAGTCTCTGTGCTGGGAATGCTTGTCTCCTCTTAGATTGCATGGCTGGCTCTGATTTACCATTTTGCTTAAATGTTACCACCTCAGAGAGATCTTCTTTGACTGCTGAATCTTAAGTCACAAACTCATTGCTATCATGTGACTTTACCTTCATGCCCAGCAGAGCATTGATCCCAACTGATCATTTGTTCTTGTGTACCAGTGCTTAGGCATGGCCTGTCTTCACACCAGAATGAGAGGGCTTTGAACCCAGGGGCCTGGTCTGCCTGGGTCATGGCTAAATGCCCAGCACCTAACATAGAGCCTGACACATGGTGGATGCTCAATCAATACTTGTTGACTGAGATAAAATTCTAGAAAGATTTTCTCTTAAACCCTTTGCTTCTAAGATACATCTAGAATACATGTAACCCAGGACTGAACACAAAGCCTTCCGGTACTTGTCTTGACTGTGTACGATACCTAATTAAGACTAAGAAGGGAGCTCATTTTAACTATATATACAACACAACAGAATGCCAGAGATGCATTAATTTAACCCAAAGGTATTTTTTTTTTCTTATTAAATAAGTAGGCTTTGAAAAAATTAAGACACAAAAATTGCAATTTCTCATTTATCTTGAAAAATAGCTGGCAGCTCAGTGTCTGCATTCCCATAGGTCAAGAACGTGCTGGAGCTCAGCACCGGGACCACGGGCGCTCCAGGCTGGCACCGGCAGCTCACGCTGTAGGGGCCAGCACCGGTGACACACGCTACTTGCCTGGCCCAGGAGGGCATTTGAATTTGAGGACTTGTAATAAAATACTGACATCTTTATCTCTGGAGGGTGGCTCACAAGCAAAGTTTATTTTCTTGTTCTCTCAAGCTGCCTTTTCGAAAATTTCTGCAACAAGCATGAGTTATTTTATAATGAGAAAAAAATCAATAAACATTATTTTTATGAAAGTTTATCCCACAGATTGGAAAGACACAATTTGCATGAAGTGCCCAAAGAAAATGAGACTCTTGAAATAAAGTTTTCACTTGCTGTTTCCCCAGATATCCTAGGGGCAGGGATTTACTCTCCTTTGCCTTCTGGGATAAGGGTCCTTCGTCCTGATTTATTTTCAGGCTCACATTCATAAATATATCGGCTTTGCCCACAGCAAGGCACAGTAGTTCTATTATAATAAAAAATGAGGGAGAAGTCAAAGGATTCCAGGCCGGAGGCACCTTGATGGCCACTTAATCCCAAAACAAGTACTGGGAGAAAATTTCAACAACCTAAATAAATTGGGGGTGTCTTGGAATTTCTTATAGGATCATTTACCTTATAAATTCTAAGAAGTGTGTGATTAAGACTATTCTTGAATGACATTCAGCTCCCAAGCGTGGCACTGGGCTCTGTACTGGGGATTCGTACCGTGCCCAGGCTAGCAGGGGGAGAAGACCTTCACCACTGACCTTGTCCCAAGGTACTGCTGCTACACCCAATGGGAGGGTTGGAGGTAAGTCTGAACTATTTTCAGCTTGGGAGAGGGAGGGGGTGGGCTATCCGGGGGAGCTCTCAGCAGGTTTCACAGCGGATGTGGCACTTGAGATGGCCCTTGGAGACTGGAAGAGGGTAGACTTTTAGGGGACAGTGGGGCTCTAAGCAAAGGAAAGCACAGAGGAAGCAATGAGCAGTTCATGTAACCAGCTATGGAGGGTGTAGCTCACATACTAGGCTCCCTGTTGACTTTGGCAGCTTAATAATAATGGCATGAACATTTACTAAGCAGTTTGTATCTAAAATGCTGTTCAAATGGGGGTAATAATAATACATAAGTCACAACGTCATTTCTTAGGATTATTTCCTTTAAACCTCACGACACCTTATGCTGTAAGGCTTTTTATTATTCCCATTTTACAGATGAGGAAACTGAGGCTCAGAGAGGTTAATCACTTGTCCAAGGTCAACAGGTAGTAAATAAGAGTTGAGTTCAATCAGTAGGTCCCAGGCTCCTAATTCCCACTGGGCTTCCTCCCTCCCTCCCTCCCTCTTTACTCTTTTTTAAGATTTTTAAAAGTTGATTTTGAGAGAGAGAGGAAGGGAGAAGGAGAGAGAGAAACATCGATGTCAGAGCCAAACATCACTCAGCTGCCTCCTGCAGGCCTCCTACCAGGGATGGAGCCGCCACCTGCACATGTGCCCTGACCAGGAATCGAACCAGCAACCTTTCAGTACACGGGACAGCACCCAACCAACTGAGCCACAGCAGCCAGGGCTACACTGGGCTTTCTTTAAGCCAAGACCTGCAGGGAGAGGGCAGAGGGCTGAGGCCATGAGGAGAAAACAATAAACCGTGGCAGCCCTGCAGAAACCCAGCTGGCCCCGTAGGAGGCCCCAGCCAGGAAACTTCCCCGTGTTCCCGGGATTTTCGACAACAGTTCCTGAGAAGAGGGAAGAGCTGGCCAAGGAGGGGCGCACAGGGGGAGCGGCCGTGGAGAGAGAATGATGCTAATTTTTTTTTCTTTTTTTTTAAAAGAGGGAGGTGGGAGGAGGGGAAGAGAGGACGGCAAAGAGAAAGAGAGTGATTAGAGGCACTTCTGAAAATCCGGCCTAAAAAAAATAATCTGAAAAAAAAAGGAGAGTATAAGAGGCTTTTCTGCAAAAAGATATTCATCAGGACATTATTTACAATGGCCCATTACTGACAATAGCAACAGGAAAGGGCTGGATGAAGCAAACTCGCGAGTTTCTGCTCCGTGGAACAGCAGCGGCGGTAAAAAGGATCATTAGCGTCACGGAAGGCGCAGGGCGGCGGGGAGGGGGCTAATATTATAACTCCGATCAGGGACGAACAGGACGCCAACTTCTCGCTGCAAATATGTACACATCTGCCATGCACATCGCCAGGGAACGGAAGAAAAGCCAAGGAAATGAGAAGGGCTGCTTGGCTTAGGGAAAGACAGCGGAGGGCAGGGGATATGTTGGCTCATTTCCCTACCTTCCTTTCTTCTTTCCAAACTTCCTAGAACACTCTCTCCTCAAGTGTCAGCTGGTACCTGCTAGTGGCAGGTGAGATGACCCTGAGTGACACCTGAAGGGGCACCTGAATGCTTTAAATAATAGTTCTGCAGTTTGCCAATGTCTTTGGTCCTATTTTTGGGTGTGGTAATGGTAAGATGGTTATGTATGAAAATGGAGTCTTTCTTTTTCAGAGAGATATATGAAAATATTTATGGCTGAGGTTATGTGATGTCTGGGTTGTGACTCCATCAGACTGATCTGGGAGGAGGGGGCGGTGAAGCAGGATTGGCCCCGGGCTGGTCATTGCGAGAGCTGGGTGACGGGAGCATGGGGTTACACTCTCCTCTCTATTTGGAATATATTTGACATTTTCCATAATAAAAAGTAAAAAAAAAAAAAGTTCCGTATTTCCATGGTTACCTTCCATTTAAGACAAACACAGCTATATAATAGGGTGGCATAGAGCTTCCTTCGAAAATATATATGCTTAGCATAAAAAATGAGCCCACTGAGAGGAAATAATTGGGTAAATATTAGATCTGGTGTTCTGAAAAGGTGAAATTCTGGTGGTGGCTTAGCAGGACATGCTCTGAACGCTGGGATGGTAGCAGAGATGCTTTTTCCACAAAGGAAGGGAGGGGGAAGCAGGCAGTGGAGTTGCAGCCCCTAAGGCAGAGGGAGTTCTGCTCCCTCCTTCCTGGTCCTGGTCCTGTCCCTCTCCCAGCCTGTGTCGCCCTCCCCAGGCTCACCTGCAGCTGTTCTCCCCGTCTGTGTGCAGGGAGGTCTCAGCCCGGCGCAGGCCCAGGCGGGCGAAGGAGTGGTACAGGGTGAGCGCCACGTCGCTCAGGCTCTGGATGCCATCGGGCTCATCGTAGACGTTTTCCCAGTAGGAGCGGAGCCCAGGGGTGCCCGCAGGGTAGTTCCCATACAGGTAATAGTCCAGCTGCCCGATGATCTCCTGGTTCACCACGGCTTCGAACTTGCGGGCAAAGAAGGTGGGCCGGGCCGTCTGCTGTGCTCAAGGGATGAAAAGATCAGTGTCAGCAAGTAGGGCGGGGGTGGGAGTGGGGGCAGGGCTCTGCAGCCAGCCTGCCTGCTTCCGAATCCCAGCTCAGACACTTACTAACCTCTCTGCTCTCAGTCTCCTCCGATATCAAATGAAGACAACAGTAAAGGTGTTAGGATGGAATGAGTTAATATTTGTAAACCATCTGGAGCAACGACGGGTACCTGGGAAGCATCATTTAAATGTTTGTTAAATAAATCACACCCCAGTGTTTATAGCTGGGTTGGATCTCCGAAATCATTTAACTGGAGGTCTAGGGCAAATACAGCCTACGGATATATTTTAATTGTCCAGCAGAGTGTTTTAAAATTGAATTAGCTGGCAATATTTAAAAAGTAGAAGACTTCACAGAAACAGTTCTTGGCTTCTCTTTAAACAGAAATAGATCCAGCAACCCCAGGCCCATGTTCCTACATGGTAACAACTGCTTAAAGCTGAAAAACAGCTGTTCTTTTAGACAGGCATGGTTTCTTCAGCTCATCACAGTCCCCACCACTCCCTATTGCCTCCTAGGCATTGCAGCAGGGTCAGCATCTCCAGAGAGGAGGTTTAGCAATCTGTATCCAAAAACGCTTCCTTGGTGATTATGATGCAGTCTGAAGACCAATAATGTAAGCCAAGTTTTACTGAGGCCCACAGAGTTTCGGAAAGGGACTTATCTAAGGTCATGCAGCAAAGTAATGACAGAGCCAGGATTAAGACCCAGGGTCCAGGATTAAAGAAATAAATTACAGAGCATCTGTTATTTACCAGGTCTTATACTATGGTCTGGGTGGGGATCAGCGAACTTTTTTAGTGAAAGGCCAGGTAATAAATATTTCCAGCTTTGCAACTATTTGGCTTTGCTGTTGTACTGTGAAAGTAGCTGTGGACAAAACAGTAGATGAATGGGTGTGGCTGTGTTACAGAAGAACATACAAAAGTAGGCAGTGGGCTGAATTTGGCCCAGATTAGTTTGCTGACCCCTGTCTGGGGCTTCGGACACAATTCAAACACAGCCCCCTCCCTTGAGGAGCTTATGGTCTAGTGTAATTATTGACCTAAGTTTGGGTCTAGTACTGCTTTTGCTGCTGTGGATAAAGAGCCACAATAATGACAATAACTACTTAGTCCTCGCTAGATGCAGGGCATCGCGGTTATGTCGTCACCTCTAATCCTCCTGACAGCTCTGCAAAGCAGGTATCCTGATTACCATTTTACAGATGGGGAAACTGAGCTCAGAGAGGGGAGGTGATATGTACAAACTCACACAGCCATAAGATTGGAACCTCAATCTGATGCCCTTTGAACCCAAGCTCTTTCTACTGCATCATCCTAGGATCCAACTGCTAACTGAGTAAACTGGAAGCTCCTGGATAACAAATACCTTTTGTATGATCCTGAACATCCCATTTCTTCTCTGCTTCAGGAACCCTTGACACCCCCAGCCTCTGTGGTCAGCTCAGTACCTTTATAGTAGCTTGAAAAGACAGACCACTTGGGTTCTACTTTCTAGCTGTATATGTCTTTGGGCAAGTCACCCAGGACTTCAGCTTCCGCATCCTTAAAGTGGGTATAATGTGGGTATTGAGCAGAGTCTGGCACACAGTGTCAGCTGCTATTATTACATGACTATTATCACTTTCCCCTTGAGCCTGCTACCAGGGGCTTCTAAATCTTGGTTTTCTGGAGGCAGGGACTCGGCCTCGGTGGCAGAGCACCGTTCTTTCCTTGTCCATGATTCTTTGGTCACAGCTGGATCTTGTAAAAGGGCACGTTTCTATATTTATCATTTTCTTCCTCAGATTTCTTTGAACAAGAACTCTCAGTTCCTTCCAGGCAGCAGTTTTTGATTCTGGATGTTGGGGGATATTCTTGCTGTTTGTTTACTGTGAAGGAAAGAGCTGTGAGCACATGACGCTGTCTCCGGTTAGCCAGTCTTTGTCAGAGACCGAGGGATGCTGGGGCTGGAGTGCGAACGCTGCTGCCTGCAGGAGAGCAGCCTGGGACGGTGAGCTCCCTAGAACCGCCACAGCCACTTGCTCTAAATGATGATGTCCTTTGTGTGAGGGCAACGACCGGTCCTCTGCAAAGGTGGGAATCCTTTTCTTTCCCTTTTGAATAGGTCGAATATTCCCCTGCGGCCTCCTTGCTGCTCAGCAGATCTTTTCTGCATGGACGGTGGGGCGAAAATGTCACCCAAGTTTATGCCTAAATTAAAATGAGCTCAAGGAGGTCCCTGGGTGGCTCTCAATCTGCCACCAAAAAACAAAAGGCCTAAAAAAATACTACTGCAGCAGCAACTGCTTACAGAGGCGAAAGACCTTAGGTGGGAACCTTGAGGGAATATGGGCCTAGAGGGGTGAAAGCTGCTGTGTATTCTGCACCTGTGCAGACGCAAAACCAGGGAGGCATCGGGGGCTGGTGCAAAAAGCCCAGGGCTGGACCTGGAAACACGTGGGTGGGCTCTTCGGCCTTGCACTCCATTATGTGTGTGTCTGTGGACAAATGAGTTCCCCTTTGGTGCCTCAGTCTCCCCACCTGCAAGGTGATGATGTCTACTCCTGTGAAGCCAATACCCACATTGGGGTTGGCAAGCAGCCTGGGAGAGAGCAGATTCCGACCCCCGTGCTTAATCATACAGGGCCTCACTGTCACCTGGGGATCGGTTCACACGCAGATCCTGGCTCAGCAGGTCTGAAGCTGCAGAGACTCTGGATTTCTCACACAGTCCCTGGAGATCGCTGATGCTGCTGGTCTGGGACCACACTCCGAGGAGCCAGGCCGAGAGACCAGGACCACTCTGAGGAGCCAGGCCGAGAGACTGGAAGCTCCACGCGGGCAGGTGGCTCAGTTACGTGGCAGGGTGAGTTAGCAGGGGCACCTCAGGTGACCAGCCTGGCCCTGTTGTCCCCACTCTCCCTCTGGGTTAGTGGTTTGGGCAGCAACATACCATCTCCATGTAGTGGCTCTAGTGACCTCAGAGTGATGTGTTTAACCATTTCTCAGCCTTCAGTCTGTGCTTTCTGCAGCTGGGGTGGGGGCGTGGTGAGGGGTAGAGGGAGGAAGGAGCTTAGGGTGCTGGCCTGGAGGGAGCTGGAGGGGTGCTCACACAGGGTAAAAGCAGGATGCCATTCTGGAAAGGTTTAGGGGCTCCTGGGAAGCAGATGGAGCATTTACTGCCATCCCGCCTCTGCTTTCCCCAGAACTGTAAATCACTAAGCTGTGCAGAGATGCCTTTGAGGACAATAACATTTCTACCTCTTGTTATTCCTTTCAGCTCACAGAATGTGGTGGTTTCCAAGCCTGGCTTTCCAAACTCAAGTTGTAACATATTTTTTTAAAAATCCCTGGACTTCACTGGAGATGAGTCGTTTGCACACAGTGGACATGTGGTGATGCCTGAAGGCATTTCTGGTTGTCAAAACTGCAGTGCTACCAGCAGCCAGTGGGTAGAGGCCAGGTTGCTGCTAAATGGCCTACAGTGCACAGGACAGCCCCCAAAGCATGGACTTATCCAGCCACAATGTTAACAGTGCTGAGGTTGAGAACCTGCTCCAAATATATTCAAGTGTGTACCCAGAAATATGTTTTTAACAAATATTTCAGGGAATTCTGATGAAAAGGCAATATAAAGAAATGGATACAGCCTGACGGGGCGTGCCTCAGCGGTTGAGCATTGACCCAGGATCCAGAAGATCGGGGTTCGATTCCCGGTCAGGGCACATGCCTGGGTTGCGGGCTCGATTCCCAGCAGGGGGCCTGCAGGAGGCAGCCGATCAATGACTCGCTCATCATTGATGTTTCTATCTTTCTCTCCCTCTCCTTTCCTCTCTATGAAATAATTAAAGATATATTAAAAAAAGAAAGAAATGGACACAAGTATGGCCTTCCGAAACAGATACATTGGGTTATGTGACCTTTGATAAGGTTTTTTAATCTTCCTATGCCTCAGTTTCCCCATTTTTAAAATGAAATAATAGTTTCAATGATCTAATAAGGTTGTTATGGGGTTAATGAGTCAAGACAGGCAAGGTGGTTAGAATTGTCCTGGCATGGAGTCACCAAAAAGACTTGGCTACTGTTGATGTTGTCATTATTATTATCAACAGCCAGGGTTGAAAATCGGGGGATGAGACGGTCACCAGGCCTGGCCTTAGACGCTGCGGAGGCTGGCTGGGAGGTGTGGGCTGGGGCTGCAGGTACGGCAGGCTCACCTGGAAACGGTGGAAGTCCTGGGGCTTGAAGTCATTGGGGGAACAGCCGCACCAGTCCACGATGTGCTTGTACTGGCACTTGCAGCCCAGCTTGCGGTTCCAGTTGGTGATGCGCAGGTTGTTGTCCACCATGGTGTCGCAGTGGGGGCTGTTCTCCAGGACCGTGTGGAAGAAGGACTGCAGGGAGAGAGGGGTCAGCCTGAGACCTCTTCCAGCCTCCCTGGAATGGGCTGGGCAGGGGTTCTTCCCTGGGACCCCCCTGACTGTGAAGAGACTCTCTTGGAGACTCATCTGTTCTTTCTGTAAATGGGGCCTGTGCCAGTCTGGTCTGACTCAGGGAACACTGGATGTTTTGTCCAGAGTGGCTTAATTCTGTTCAGAAGTCTAATGTCTTGAGTCTTTCTCTAATTATCTTTCCCCAGCAGCCTAAAATCTGATTTCAAGATATCCAGGACACCTTCTGTCTGCTCAGGAGAGAGGAAAAGTCCCTCGGGGTATGTCAACATATGGGGACCAGAGGAAAACGTGGGGATAATTTTTCATAAAACTGTGGGCCCTTTGGCTCTTGCTTTGCAAATAGCCAGGTCTGAAACCAATGGGTTTCAGCTCAGATATCTTGAGAAGAAAGACGAATGCTCTGGAATTCCAGCCCTGGCCAAAGGAGGTCAGATTCATGAGTGCATCAGGCCTCAGGGCTGGAAGGCATCCCAGGTGCCTCCTGACATTGGAAGTAGTGTGACTACAACCCAGGGAGGTGAAGG